ATATTCAATGTAACCTGTATAGTCTCTATATTAAAAAAAGGCGTTCTAACATTTTAAAAAAATTTTTGAATGATACTATATTGAATTTATAGATCCAATGCCCGATTCACAATCGAATTGATCTTTGCAATCTCTTGAAAATATACAGCATAAATTCTTACAAACATATTTCATGGACAATATGGATGAAGATAAAATTACGTTAAAATTACCATCGAATCTTTAAACTATTAAACAACCGATAAGTAGTATTACGTAACACTCCACAATAGCCAAATTCAAAGGTGAGAAATTTGAAAATGTGTCCTTTGAGTTTAAACGAATTCAATTTCCGATTCGTCTTGCATTCGTCATGACGATTAAAAATCACAAGGCCAATCATTATGTGTTTTTGGTCTGAATCTAGAAAATTCATGTTTTTCTCATGGTCAGTTGTATATGACATGTTCATGTGTCAGCAAACTATCAGCTTTATTTGTTCTTGTACTTGATAACAAAACTAAAAATGTCGTATATTACAACGTGCTTCACTGAAGAGAATCGACCCAAGTTCAATCCAAGTAGAAAATATATGGGTGTTGGTAAGTTGGGTCCCGGGAAAAAAAAAAGGTGGTAGGTTAAGTCCAAGGTAAACAATTTTTTTTAAATATCTAATAATTTTTATTAGAAGTCAATTTTAATATTATTGTATTTTTTATTAAATTTCCGGTAAAAACTTAAAAGATACGAATTTAACAAACTCAAATCGACGAACAGTACATAATGCACGCAACGAAAAATATAGTGAAAATGCTCAGATTTCGTACACTCATGTCTATGTGAAATCATAAGAATCAATATTGGTGTTAACTGATAACTAAAGACCGGATTTATATGTTTTTTACATATCGTTACTTAGTCTATGCAGTTGTATGAGATTAAAAAATATGGACAATTCATTCAATTCTGAGTTTGTAGAAAAAAAGTTTTTTTTGCATATTTAAGAATATATCATAGGTTAGAGAATATTTAGCCCATTTAGCATATTTTAGAATATTTGATTTTTTTTTCATAGTTGGAGATTGTACAAACTGTTATCTGCAAACTAACCAATATACCTAGTGAAACGGGTAACATAATAAAAATACTAAAGTGTCTCAATAATGTTAAAAAAATAAAGGTTACAAAATATTAGCAAAAGTTGGGAACATTTTATATGGAAACAATAAAGTTCTCCCAGAATATTTTACACCTACTGTAGTTATTGGCATAAATGGCACCTCTAATATCTGTAGATGTTGAACGTTCATTTAGTCTCTATAAACAAATTTTAAGCGATAGATGAACTAACATGAGTACAGATAATATGTAAAATATATTATTGTTAATTCATATAATAAAATTTAAATAGTATTTCAAGTTTCTTTTTTATTCTTCAGAAATTAAATATTTACCATTGTATGCACCAAAGAAATATTGTTTTTTTTATACATATATGTATATATATACCTATATTGTTATTTTATATATTGTATTAAATTATTAATATTTAAGGATTACCTTTTGTTAACCAATTTTTTTTTTGTTTTATTATATTTTTATATACCTATTATTTATATATATGATTATTTGTTATTTTTAATATTGTGATAATAGTGTTAATACAACATTTAATTAAAATATACCAAAAGAATATTGTTTTTAAATTTTAATACTGTAGACCAGGAATCGTCAATCAGTCGATCGTTGTAAAATTTAATTTTACCACTATTGGTCGATCGCCTAAAATAATCAGATTAATTGGATAATGGGAATATTAGATTTAAAGATTAAAGACCTAAATTTTCCTCGATGTCAATCACTAGGGACTTAAATATCAAATGTAGCTCACTTGTTTGAAAGCGTTGGCAATCCCTGGTTATAGACTATACTGAAATATTTTTACTATATTCCTACTCTTACTGAAGTACAATAGTATTCTATTAGGTATAATACGCAACTACGTATATACCTTATAATTAAAAGAATGTTGTAAAAATTTTTTTTTTTTTTAAATGCATATTAAACTATATATTGATGTTTGTTGATTATTTTTGAATAATTTTGAATATTTTTACACATTTTTAAGATTTTTAAGAAAATATAATAAGAATATTTGAAGGTTTTTTAGAGAATATTAGCATCATATTTAAGGTATTTTGAGAGAATATAAATCCTATATTTACTGATAACTGACACACGATATACGACAAACTAATGTACGTATATGCTATATCGTATCTTAATTAAACATAATCAAAGTTACGACATTACGAAGTTCTTTGATCGCAATGGAATCGATAACCGATAACAACAGTGTGAATTGTAATTTGTAAAACGACTACGGCCAAGTATTATAGTTACTAGTAGGAACTCAATTTACCTACTACCTTTTTTCCTCGAGACTCAACTTACCTAATATCTTTTTTTTCTCGAGACTCAATTTATCGCATTCAAAATGTACATAAAATATCGCGGACCCAATTTACCTAGCCCCAAATATATAGCTTTAATAAAGCAAATGTTTTGCTGACACGCTATTGAAATATCTACTTGATTTTTAATAATAAATTAAAATACTTTACATTTGTATTTTTATACTTGTATAATTTTTTTATAATAAATTATTATTATTATAACCTAATAATATATTTTTTGTATTCATTTTATTATATTAATAAAATTATAAATGAAGTATAGCTAAAAGTTAAAACAAAATTCATTGATTGTTAGGTGATGCAAAGTTCGCTGGGTCAACAACATTTTTTAAAATAAAACAAATCAATTAAAAAATGTGTAGGTATACTTCAATAATTATTAGTTTTTAATAATAATCAAACTTCAACATCGACAACTTTTGTTGACATACACAATCGCGTACCTCTTTCCATTACATAAAATGATGGTGGTATATTATTTTTTTATTTTTTTGTAATAATTAAAATTTTGGATTGATTTTAGACTTTTTGAACAATAAATATACATGCTACGATATGCTCGTATATTTATAATTTAAGGTTATGGTTCAAACTTAAAAAATGAGTAATAAATTATGAAATATTCATTAATTTATGTTAACATGTTTGAGGGTAATATAGGCGGGTGAACACGTATATGTTTAATTTTTCATTAGATAAGGACGCAAAATTCGTATGTGTCTTAAACTACCTCTACTATTTTTTTTCCAAGTCAATCACTGAATTAGATGATATGAGTATGTGCGATGGGGCTTCTTTTAGGACACAGAAGAAGGGGGCCTTCGTCTCAGGCTCCATGATTAGCTCTCAATTTACAGGCCCTGCGTTTTCAAAATTTCGAATTGATAAATTGTTTCCTATCAACAAAGTTTACTAACAAAATAATTGTTAAAAGAAAAAAATATTTGACTATGAAAGTTTTAGTACGTCATCTAATCCCACTAGTAAAGGTGATTTCAAAAATAAATATTTTTTTTCCAATTCTTGATCAAGAAATTTCTTCTTGAAGTTGAAGATTTAAATAATTGAAACAGTTTAATGATTATTTTAGTTTTTTATTTAACATTGGAATTATTTCCGAAACAAAGAAAAAATATTTGATGAAGCGTTGAAATAATTTTTTGTCATGACTGCACAGAAAGTTTGGTTTATGTCCGCTGTTGAAGCGTTGGAAGCGACCTTTTTTCGTCCGGCAAGCGGTAAAATGGGGATTCCCATAGAGCCGAGCGGTAAAATTAAAATCTCGAAAAGTTCTGGGTGCGTATTTCAAATACAACCAGAAACCGAAATGTATACCACGGTCCTTACAAAACATAGTAAGAATATAGAAATTTGGTGGAAATTGTAATAATTGTGAAATAAAATAACATTTCTTCATGTTTTCGTAGAACAGTCTATTGTTGCATAGATCCCTCCGTTACTTTTTCCGCAAACGCAGTGGCTTAAGAAAAAATAGAACGTGTGGCTCACGTGGGGACGCAATTTCAGTCTTAGACGAAATTCGGCCATCGCCTGCGGCTCGTGCCGCACACCGTCGCCCACGACTGAAATACTTTTCCCGCCCTTGTCACACAATATACTATTAATTAATTTTTTTAAGGAATCGGAAAAAATATATTCGTCCGCAGGAGAAGCGTAGAAACGGCCTTGCATGTGTGCACGAGCTTTCGTTATTCGTCATATTTCAATATTCTTCGGCCGTTTTCGACCAATCGTAATAATGTTTAATATCATAACCGATGTATACATATACATTGCTTGAATTCGAAACGAAGTGTCCAATACAAGACGGGCAATATATCTGTATTGACAGCATTCGAATGGAAAACGTGTTTTCAACGAGCATTTTCGATTTATATTATTCGATTAATAAGGGATTGGTCATCGGGTATACGACACACGTACCAGACTACGCAAACGAAGATATGCGTGCGTACAGCGGACCACTCGAGGGCGATACGAACGCGTCGTGTCCGTAAGCCTATTGAAATCGAGAATGCAAACAAATTGTGTACCGAATACGGAGTTGTGTTCGGTGGATTTTTTCGAATTGCACGTGTTGCGTCCCAAATAATGAAATGTACAGTAAACACGCGTAGTGAGAAATGTTTCTATTACAGTATTACATGTATATTATGTACTCGTAAATAACATTTTACATGAGAATAAAATATGTTCCGTTGTATTGATTTAAAATAGTAATACGTATTTGCAAATAATATTAACAAATGTCACGAATATACAATGTACATCGTATAATGTACCTAATTTAAAATATAATAATTATATATATAAAATAATTTATGTTATTAAAGAATTGAAGTGAAACTATTATTAAAAATTAAAATACTACTATACAGATACATAAAGTATACGAGTAAATACCGTTAGATACGATTTTTACATTAGAATACATGTTGAAAAAAAAATTAAATAAAACGTCGTATTGTCATGTTTAGAATTAATATAAAAATAAAATGTAAAAATAATTACACGTTTGACAAAAATTTAAATGATACTGTTTTAATAAATTTAAATCGAGAAATTTGTCCATTTTTCTGTACATTTAATTTTTGACTAGTAGATCAATTGTTTTCGCGCATCGTCTCTGATAATGTTCCAGTACTTCTAATTTGTATGTTAATATCATTTTGAAAATTTCTAAGAACTTTAATAGATTGAAAACTATTGAGATGGCTTGAATAGAACATTGAATTTAATTTGGAGTGAAATGGTTCACAGTTGTAAGTTGTGAGTAACATTTAACTGGAAGATTCTGCCTTTGAACGGAGAGGAAATACAGCATAATTCATGACATAATTATCCGTTAAATGAATTACAAGTTTAAGAACTTCGGAATTATTGAAAACATTACATAACTTCAAATCAAACACAACTGAATTTTCTACGTCATCTGGGTCAAGTAATGGCATACCAAAAATGTACTTTAAAAATTTGCTTATTTTTAAAAATTGATCCTTATAACATATATATTAATAATATAATTATTGTTTTACGAATAAACCGACTTCTTGGATATTTCGCCACCAACATTGATCGGGATGGAAGCAGCAGCCTATAATTTCTATCGTTGGCCACACTTGGCAAAAACATAATGAATTCCTATTTCAAAACCCATGTGAATACGTAGTAAATTTTATGTTATATCTAAATCTAAAAAATATTTTTTACAAACTTGAAAGCTACATAATTTTTTAAAACTTCCTAAACAGTTCATGGTTTTAAACTCATAAAATAACTATACAACATACATTAGGAACCCACTAAAAAACAAAATGTATTTAAAATAACAATCAACAATAGGTAATCTTGCAAAATCATAAATTCGAAGTCTTATTATAATTTTTGTAATTTTATCATAGTAAATATATAGCAAATACCTACACAAAATAACAAGTCTATATTCGATTAAATCAAATGCTATCATCTTGGTGATTTTTCGGCTATGTCTACCCGCCACACTTTGGGCTAGTAATTCGTTCGTTATGCACCTCTTATTTTTAAATTTTATCGATTATACTTTAAGACGGTTGCAGGCCTTGCATAATTGTAATCCGACAAAACCATATTCTATACAATTTTATATTCAAATGTGAAACTATACGGCTTGGTACGATTATATAAAGGCCATCAGTTAGATAATGAGAAAGTATAATAATATACTAATCCGTCTCACCCTTTCTATAGGTACGTATATTAATCGACTCGATCACGCTAATCTTAACCAAAATCTTCGGTGTAGCATTCATCGTATTATTATTATCATTATTATTATAGTCATTAATGTACTACGGATTGTGTGGACGATTTCGCACTACCACTCGCGTGCAAACGTTTAGATTTTAATCGCCAAAGTTTCATAAGACTTATTAAAAACGTCAGTACGGTTTAAACACGCCTATCTCGCACACTGAAATACAGATGATCGTAAATCATTTTCGATTAGATCAGATTCGTTACAACTGTAGACATTATACACATAAAATATTATTTTATCAAATCGTATTATTATACATTCGTTAATCGACGTCAGGACTTACTAACCCGAATATTAACATACAAATTGAATTACGAATTGTTAATCCTTTTTCGTTCGTCACGCAGGTCCTCGTACCTAAATCCATAATTTAATACCGGTATTTTTGTTTTCCACAGAAGTGCATAAATTTAAGCGAACAGCCATTTTTAGCGTTGCACCGGATGATAACACTTAAAAAAAATTATAATAATGATTTCTCTTTTCTTAAACTTGATTGTACACGGTATTCAATATTTGATTAAACATATCCACCAAATTATGCGCACGGAGATTCTGCAGTAGACACTCTGTAGTTGATTATTTTTTTTCTCGTTTGATCACTATCTGAATACTCATGTAGTAACGGTTTTTGCTCTATATTTGTGTGGAAAATAAAAGTATCATTAGTAATATCAATGGCGTAACTGGGAAAAAATCTAGGGGGGGGGGGGCAATATAATATATGGTACTTTCGTATAATTGTATAAAATTAAAGTGAAAGGTGCACTAAAATACATAAAAGCTTAAACAAAGTTCAACAATATGCGGTTATTAGATTCATTTTTTCTTTAACGGTCATGATTGTTTCGAGCGAAGTCCATTAAGCCAACCAATATTGATATACATGAGAATAAAAATAACCAATTTTTATTTTATAATAATATCGATGTATTATATTTACGGATACCGAGTGTTAAGTATAAAGAAGATAACGGACCGAATTATTTTGGGCAAACGTAAATTGCGCCCAACGAAGGGAATCAATTGTAAATTGCGCCCGCTATTTTTCAGATACAAATTTCTGTATAGTAAATTGCGCTCAATAGAAATATTATTTTTATGATAATCATATAGTATTACCCAGAGGACACCACGAGGAGTCGACTATCACTGTCCTCCAAAATTGTTTTTTTTTTTTTTTTTGGTTTACTTGAAATGAATAAATTAATTAATAAAAATAGGAAAATTAATATATTTTTTTAAATATTATGGTATAAATTATAGTTTTTTAAATATTTTTTGTTAGATTAAAAATATTAATTATAAAAAATACAGTTATAAGTTATGTGCATAGTAATGAGACATCATCTTCACATATTCAACTCTCGTAATAGTGTTTTCATTGTATTTTTGAATAATTTTTTCCATTTTTTGAATTTTTTTTTTTTTGATTTGGTGTTTTGAAATGTAGGAACAAATGAAATAGGTATTTAGTTATTAGGTATTATAGGTATTTATACGATTAATTTTTATACAAATTTCAGATTATAACTCTAATATTTTATCCATAAAATAATAAATATGAGGTTACTTAGATAGTAGATACTATGAGCGCAATTTACTATAGCCATTTTAGACCCCAAAAAATCCCGGGCACTATTTACTATATCTATTTTAGAACCAAAAAAATCCCGGGTGCAATTTACTATAGTATTTTTACTACCTACTTAATATGGGCGCAATTTACAAGCGCCCACTATTTTGTATAGGCCATATTGGAGAGTGTTATTTTCCTGCAAAGTCTACCGACCTTTAACGCTCATCACTGGTTAAATAGCTTTTTTGATTAATTCGTCTACCCGTGCGTACCGTGGCTTTAATACCACCTTGGTACAAAAATAAAACGTATTTTATAATAAACGCTTTTATAACATCATCTCGACCATATTATATTCTGAAGAAAAGTAAGATAAAAAAAAAACACAAACAGAATTTTACACAAAATACGAAACAGACCAGGGCAACGACCCATCGATGCACTTAAAATGATTAATTTGGGAAATTTAGTTTTCCAACCGAAGCCTACAGTGATCCTTACTACAAAGACTTTTAGAAAAAAATTATAATACAATTTTTAAATTACTTTTAATCGATTTTGACTTACACTTAGCTCTTATGAATTCTTCTCCTACCTATGTAAATTTTGGAGTATAAAAATTCATGTTCAACACAAGTATCTTATTTCATGTCTACTGCGATATGCTCTTCGGTACCAGTTTCTGCGTTCTGTTTACAGGATAATCGCATTACACGGTCCGCATCGGTGGACGTGCATAACTATTTCCCCGTGTGTTGCAAATTATTTTATTTTCATACCACCCACTCATCACCTGTAAATAATATACGTTTTATTAAAGGATTGTATCGATAAAACAAATTATAACTTAATAATCAAGTACGGATACTTATGAAATCGTTGTATGCTTACCAAAAGATATAGTCCACCCGATTTTCAAGTAGACTTAGACTCCAATTGTAATATGTCTGCATACCGCTGGTTCGCATCAACAGCCCTGATTAACGACGAGTGGTACAGGCAGTGACGATATCTGCCAGAGGCATTACTGCTCTGTCGGTGGGGACACACCGAATATTGTCCTCAACCAAGAACGGAAAGAGGTGGGATAGACTTCGGCAAGGACGTAGCTAAAAATGTCATCGGGAGGAGGGGGCAATCAATAATTAAAACCTGTTTAATGTTATTTATTAAGTGTATTTTTAAATATTTACACGCGTCAAATTTTTTATCATATTTTATGATCTTTAATTATAACTTATGAGATAAACACAAAAAAAAATCATAATATATTAAAAATATTCATGTAAAATTATATTGTTAAAAAAATAAATAAAAAAGCTGTCATTAGGTAGCAAATGATCATTTGAATGCTTAGAATATAATTCTAAAAAAATATATTGAAAAAATAAAAATTTGAGAAGTTATAAGCAGTTTAAATATTGGGTCTATACCCTTGTGTAGTGAACAAGCGCGTCCGCAAAATAAAATACCACCCGGGGCAAGATTAAAATTATAAGGGCCAAAACAACGTGTATCTAAAAATAGATAAGAACAAAATCAAATACCATAGAAATCGGTACTCTGGAGAATTTATTATTTTAAGCGATATGCAGTCATGTGTAAACGTTGTAAACTAATAAACACGTTCAAGATTATACATTTTAGATTATCTAAAAATATAATAAATTTTACTAAACTTCATAAATGGATTTCAATAAAATGATGGTAAAATTAATATGCGTGGTATTAAATTAACAATAGTTTTAAAACAAAAATTCCCAGTAAGGGCAATAGCCCCTTTGGTCCCCTCCTGAGAGCGTACATGATAGTGAATCGGCCTCTACTCCCCTTGGCCACGCCTTTCAACCTCGATCCGACCAAGGCGACTGACAGTGCCATGAACACTGCAGTTAACGGGTACGAGTTACGCAGATAGTGACATATAGACATAAGTGCTGGTGGTCCTTTTGACAACGACCCATGGAATGATGACTTCTCCACGTCTCGTGAGCAGTTCCCAGAGCAGATACCCGGTCTGTGGTCGTCGGTATGAGCGCTTGCGTTAACCATAAGCCCGGACACACGTTGGACGACCCGACGTGCGAAAATATTATAACTAAATTTGTTGCCATCGCATAGCTGAAATCGATTTTTCATAATTTACAAACGAGTATATTATTATTTGTACACCTTACACAGTTAAAAATGTCCAAAGTCAAACTTCATATTATGTAGGTTTGTAACATTGTCGCGTTTGTTGTGCATATTATACATAATAATATACATGGTCCGTCGGTCTGATTTTCCGTTGTTTTTCTTCGGTTTGTTTTTGATTTTTTTTCCCCCCAACCAAAATACGTTCCGTGTTATCGGCTTCGCATTAAGGTCGATTCACACATATCAATCACGAGACAGTGACGTATCCGATCAGAGACAGTCAAGTCGCCGACGATTTTCACTGATCAGTCAAGTGTGTTTCACACATATCAGTCACCGAGACCGGTCAGTTTCGAGAAATCGGGACAGTCGTGTTGAGTCTATACCAAACACGCGTTTACACATCACGTATTTTTATGTATATTTTTGTTATATTTTTTTTAAAACATTAAAATAATACTAAGCATTACAACGTGAATATGGCGAATTTCACTGATGAAGAATTATGTATTATTGCGATTATTTTGGACGAGGAAACCGAACAAGAAGAAAAGAAAACTCCGAAGAGACGAAAGTGGGTGCATGAGGCATGGCAAAAAAGAGACAGTGAAGGAGAGTTTTTGACACTTTATAAGGAACTGATTGAAGATGGAACTAAATTTTATCAATATTTCATAATGTCTGAATATTGTTTTAATACGTTACTTGAGAAATTGTATGTATATTTAAAGAAAAAAAGATACACATTGGATTGAACACATTCGATGATGTTCGTCATCCATTTCGCCTACAATTGTCATCCGTCAAAACAAAAAATATCGTTGGCGAGAATTCAAAAGTTCTCGGATCTGTGACTGAACGGATACTGACGGATCGGATTCGGATAGAAAACTGATGAGTGTGGATGACGCGATATAAATTTAGCGAAACGTTATTTTCTATGACTGAGACTGACCCGAATTCTCGGGACTGAACGGTCTCGTGACTGATATGTGTGAATCGACCTTTAGAACCCAGAACACAAATACAGAATTTCCTCGTTACATCTCTCTCTTCAATAATATCCATACGTTTTGCACTCTAATATTAACGCGTCTATCTGATGGATAATGTATAGTTTTATTATCATCCTCTTAACTATTCGCTATGGTTGCGCACCGAGCTACCGAATTATTAATATCCGTGTGCAGTAGCGCCTGCCTAGAACACGCATTCATCGTTACTCGTGTATAATAGATTTAATGTTTGTATACATACAACGGCGTAGGAACACTCTATAGCCCTCCTGGCAAACTTAGGAAAAAACTACGTTTAACCAATTGAAAATTTGATGTGATGATATTTTTTTTTAACCTTGAAACTGCTGTGTTTTATGATTTATAAATAGCCAGCATGTTCATGATGCAGTAGTAGGTGGTACATGTTCTGAAGGTGTATGTGTTATGTCAAAGTTTAAGTTTTCGATTCGCGATAAAATTGCACTAGTAGGTAACTCCATAGTCAACACCTACCGCGGACTGCAAAAGCACGTTTATAATTCACTCGCTACGTTCGAGCTTTGTCGACGTACTTCATTGAATATGAATATTATAGATCTTCATTCCGTGACGTGCACTTGGTTCGATGTAATGTTAATTATTCTCTGACGATAAATCTAAAAAGCTGGTGTGGTGCTAAGTTTAGGTCCGTTATTTGATCTGAAACATTTTAAGAGCTACAATACGTGAATTTATATGCATGTATACACGTATTAAAATCTATATGTTGCAGACTTTAGCCATCGTATATTTTTTTTTCAACTTCTGGTGAAGTTCAAAAGTACAGCGTATTTGTTGCGATAACGTTAATTACTTCATAATTATTAGTGGCCATAACCATAGCGTTTCATGTTTGTATAAGTATGAACTAGACAGTAATTTTTTATTTGAATAGTTTTAAAACTGTTAAAAGTTATACCTAACACTTTGCACTATCGTAACCAATTCATCAAACCTATGTTAAACGGGCTTATTGCTATAATATATTGGTGGGTAACCGATCACGGGCAAGGACAGGTTGCGCTGGGTCGAGCACCAGGAAATACCGTTAGCCTTGCACTATTCAATATCTCGAACGTAGGTAGGTACAAAACATTTATTGGACAAACATAGCAAGTCTAAAAACCTATTGCATGTGCCTATTGATTTCAGAAAACGGTTTTAAAACAAAATTAACCCATATGCGCGGCCGAGTGCACGAACTCTTTGTAGACACATTTTGAAATCATTAGATAATTAGGTAGGTAGCAGTGCTATTGTAATGTATGTTTATCATAATCACCATACGTTATTGCTATGTATAATAATTAAAGTTTTAATTGCACATAAATAGTATCGAATATCGCTGATTACACTTAATATCTCAACAAAATTTTTCAAAACTTTTTTTTTTTTAAATAGTTCCTATAGCACTTATCAGCTTACGTCAATAGACTATGGCGATACGCATAATTAAATTACCTATCTGACACGCATCAATCAAATATTCTTTAAATACATTCGAGAATTCAAAACTTGATGATTATCAAATGAAGTTGTCTAGTTTCAGAATATATTCATATATATAATATATATCTAAACAACAACCTAAAAATAAATATTATAAAATGGTATTCGATACTACTTAGTAGTACATTATCTTGTTGGTCATTATGGAATAATTACCAAGTTGATCAACATTGCTTATAAGAATAATTTTTCCATTTAAGATATATTTGATATTTGATACATTTTAATAGTTTCACTATATTTTGCAATTAGAAATGCAATAAAGATCGATATTTATTTGTAATTTTTACGGTTGAATACATTTTTGTTTTTTTTTTCTAAAAAATATATTAATTAATAATAACCATTTAAATTTTATTAGAATTCAATTATCTTGTGTTACTTAAATAATTAATCAAGTTGTAATTATACTTCAGCCATTAAGATTGAATATTGGCAGTAAGTTAAAAAAATGATGTAATAAAATTATTATAAAACAACTTTCCATCTAGTTTAAATCAAGACATACACAATTTAAGTAATACTATTAATTTATATATATATATATATATATATTAATTTATTTCAAAAAATTTATAATTTTTCATGAAAAGTCTAGTAAAATACCATCTAGTAAAATTAAGTAAACGTTGTCAGTTTATTTTGAAAGTAATACTTTAATGAGCTTTTATTTATGTTTCTTATCTACATTGGTTAATAAAACTATAATAGTATATAAATACATTTTAAATTATGTTTTATGATAATTAAAAATTAAAATAAAAAAACTGGTAAATACAACTAGGAAATTATTTTCTCTAATTACCAGTGATATTTAATATAATATCAATAACATATTAAATAAATGTAATTACATAACCTAATCTTTTTAATATTAGTGGGAAAAGTTTAAAATATTGGCCATTCATTAGACATTAAAGAATTTAATTGATCTCAATACATTTAAATACAACAGTGATTTAAGAATTTAATTTTAATAAAGAGTTAAATATTCTTAAAAGTGCAATGATTTATTTGAAACACAATCATTTTAAAATTATATCACAATACTATTTTATAGTTCAAACATTATATAGAAATATAATTTTAACAACAATTTTGGTGTTAAGATTGTTGAGTACTTTCAACTTGGTTGTATTCCTCAATTAATTTTGAAATTTTATCATTGGTTACATTAAACAATTCTTCATCCATACCTTCACCAATATAATGGTGTAAGTATGCTCGTTTGGAAAACAATTTGTTGTAATTCTTCATCATGTTAATCCAGCGATGTTTAACCGCCGTATTATTTGACAATGTTGTTATTGCCCTGGAAGCCGCAAAGGTTCCACTACATGACGTGGTGATGATAGGTTGATAGCATAGACCAAACTAAGGAAATGCAACTGCATAAATTTAAGATATGGTTTATGAATTTTTCATACTAACCTTGAATATTGGAGAAATCATATTTCCTGTTACTGGAAAAGAATGTTCTCTTTGAATATAGGCAATGGTTGTATTTATATCGGTTGGTTTCAGATCTCCTCGGAACATCATGCAAACTGATACGTATTTTCCTAGAGCAGGGTCAATTTTGATCATTTGGTTAGTACGATCAAAGCTCATTGCAGCTAATTGGGTACACGTTGATGGAATAAAATGAATATTGTTTGTATTAGGAGCGTATGTAATTATTGGGAAATGCAATCTAGGTTGTGGTATTAAGTTTGTTAATAAGTCTGTAATATTATTCATCATTGAACCTTCAAACCGGAGTGATGAAGTGATTCCCGATGTGACCTGAGAATAATATTTAATGGTAAATCTACATGATCAATAATCATACCATAACAGTATAAATATACCTGTGCTATAATATTATTAATGTTTCCATGTGTAGGATTGGGCAAATCTAATTTTGAGCCACATATATGATACAATGATTTGTTATCAAAGAGCAAAGAACAATTAACATCATCTAAGTTCTCATAAGTGGTAAAAGCAGCATTATATGGTTCCACTATAACTGGTGACAACTATTGAAATAATATCATAAAAACGTCAACATATTATTAAGTTGTATATAATTATAAACACAAACTTCTGGTGAAGAGCAAATATTAAAATCAATAATAGTTTTGCTGGGATAAGTGTTTTTGATGTTTTTAATAATTCTTGAACCCATTCCAGATCCAGTACCACCACCTATTGATCTGAACAAAATAATTCCTTGTAATGAACTACAGTCCTCTGCTAAATGTGATAATTGATCCATAACAGCCGATGATAGTTTCCTGCCCAATCCATAAAATCCAGTGGCATAGTTACTTGCTGCACTCTCATTTCCATTTATCAAACTCTGAGTAAGAAAAAGCTTTTGATTACTTCCAACTCTTATTGTATCTGAAAACTAACATAGTAATAAAGTTCTTTATTGAAACTGTAATAGGAATTCACTAACCTATAACTGAAGGTTCAGTGTCCACCAACAAAGCTCTCGGAACGTACGAGTCTGTCTGAGATAAAGAAAAAAATGATGTTGAACTTGTGGTCAGTTGATGAACCGACCCATCAGGATTAATGCCATGTTCAAGGCAAAATAATTCCCAACATGCTGATCCAACTTGAACACCAGCTTGACCAATGTGTATGCATATGAATTCACCCTGTGTTAGTGGTGGTGGTGGTATTGCTGGTGGTAACAATGGTTTAATTATTTTTGGTTCCTTCTTGTCTTTTTTATTCTTAGTTTTTTTTGGACCTGCATTCTAAAATTATTTTTAGCGTACACAAATAATATAATTTAATATTGAAGTTCTTTACCTTTTTTTTGGCCATTTTATTTTATTATGTGAAATTAAAAGATAATTCTCAATGGTTTTTTAATTTTTTTTTTTTTTTAATAGTTATAATTGTTTATATCTCCAAAGTTACACATTACATTTGACAGATGTTTAATTTCAATAAAATAATTAGTTTTACTTCTTGATAACCTGTATATATTAGTTTCTTAGAACTATAATCCACCAAACAAAAACAATTATATTTATTTTTGGAGGCAATTCTAGTAATCTTTTTCACTAAAATGTTGTATAGAATTACAAAGTACATTTATAACTTTATAAAAAAAACCAACAGAATTAAAACATTGAATTTTTTTAGAACAATAATTCTGTAGAGCAAAATTTAAAAATGTATATTAACATGGGTATACATAAAAAAAGAAAAAAATAATAATTCTACAATAACATAATGATTTTATTGATGATCAAAATAAAAAATAAAAAATGGTAATTAAAAACAAATTATACTTATTCTTAAATTACTACATACAAATAAACTATGAATTTATACTTTAGGTAATGTTTTAAGTTCATGTACAAGCCACAGAGCAAGTGAAAGTAAAGTAAGTGAACCTGACTGATGAGCGGCAGCTAGTGAAACAGGAACATAAGTGAGGAGTGTCGTAATTCCTAATCCCATCTTAAAAGTAATAAAAATAATAAATTTATAAATTATATTATTAAATATAAATTTAAAACTTATAAACTATCACTTACTTGGCACCATGAAAATGTGGCTAAAGCAGTGGTAGCCAATTTAGCTCTTGGAGGTAGCTTACTTTTTCGAGACATTATATATAAAGCTGATAATATTGATACGGTACTAATTCCCTGTAAGATGATCCATATTTAAATAATAAATTATTAAATAGACCAACTTCATTTTTAAGTAAATATTTTTAGTTACCAATATTCTGTGGTCAAACTGTACTGTAGTGGGATTTTCTGTGATATTACTAAGTGCTGGATCCATTTGCATAATATCATCGGGTATCCATTTATCACCCATTTTTGGAAATGAATTATACACCAATCCAGCATCTAATCCAGCAACAAATGCACCTAAAAGTTATAAGAAAATATTAATTTATTCACATTTTAATTAGATTGGTATATAGATTAATATTAAATACTATTTAATATTTTAAACAACAACTCTATTTCAGTAACTAATTTGCAATTAATATCATACATACCAGACATGGCAGTCAAAAAAACAAGTCCTTTAGCCGCCATTGCTAGTCCAACAAAGTTTTTAGTAACAACTCCAGTTACTTTAACAGGCAAAAGAATGCGCAATGAATTTGTTAAAAGAAATGAATACAATATAAATGCTAAACCCAGATGGGAAGCCAATCTATACTGTGATACTCTAGGAACATCTGTGGGTTTATCAAATCTATCTTCAAGACCAGATTTTACCATGTACCATCCCATTAAACCCTAAAGTAAAAAAGTTTATGAGTTAAAAAAAAAATCAATTTATTATAGGATATTATAAATTATATAATATTGAAGTTGTATACCATAATGTTCACAGGTTAGTTAATTTTATTGTACATATTTAATTAACGTACTTGTCCAGCTAATAAAACGGAACAAATCAAAGAATGAATTTTAGTGGTTCGACTGAAGTTACGGGTCAACCAAAAGCCTGCCATTGGGATAAAAAATACTGCACCTATGCATCGACCCCAAGTCCTGTGTGCATACTCCATCCACCATATCCATTTGAATTCTTCAATTGTCATAGTAGAATTTTTCCTAAAATAAATCTTTATGGTCATAATCAGATTATAAAAACTGTAATGATTTAACTAACATTTTGAATTCAGGATATTGCTGGTATTTATTGAACTCTTCTTCCCATTGAGCTTGTGATGTAGGCAATTGTTCACCCAAAAGTTTCCAATTAACCATAGATAAGCCAGACTCTGTAAGCCTGGTAATACCACCTAAGGCAACAGCTACAAAAACCATTCCACTGCAACCAAGAAACCAATAACCAACATACTTTGGATCGGCTTCAGCTATTTTAATATTACTGAATGATTTTTTCCACACATTTAGCTGTAATACAAATAGTAAACAATACACACATTTAAAAATCACAATGATGCAGTTATTACTTTGTATTTAAATACCTACAGTACAATTATTTGAAATAAAAATTATTTAAATGAGGGGCTCAGAGAAGCTAAACTACCTCTGAGCCATCTTAAACCCTCTCTAATATCTGTATTTAGAAGGTGGATAACAATGCCTCCTACTAATTTTGTTTTGAAAAATCTCATACCTTAAGTATCCAAGTATTGTATTTAAATGTATGCTAAAAGATGAGTTGATAAAAAAATTATTTCAGGTACAATGTGATGTTAAATTTTTCACACATTCATATTCTATTCTAGTGGTCAAATCAATAATAATAATTAAAATAAAACATTTATGATTTCATTATTTAAGTGTTTTAAGTATTAAATGAAAATCAAAAGTTTAAAATTATGATGTCTTAAACTTACATTTAAATTTGATGTTATTGTTTTGTTGATATAAGGTTGACGAAAAACAGATAACTGATTGGATTTTGTTAATAATACCTGTAAAGTGAAAATTTAAAGCAAATTTAAAATACTTAACAAACAAAATCGGTAGCGATAATATTACTTTTTTAATTGTAAGACTAGTTGCAGGAGTCAACTTTGTACTTATACCGTGTAAACATTTACTAAAACTTAACATAATTTCTAATTAACGTTAAATTAAAATTTCTTTAATTTCTACAAAAAGTGCTTGAGATTTACTCAATTGTTCTCGAACGAAACTGTTAAGTAAGATTGTTTTATATTTTATTATAACATTTCAAATAATGACTGACGAATAAAATCTGGGAACTATTCTAGTATTTCGGCTTTCGACATTTGTTGTAACAGTTGAAACACTATCAGATAACACGTATCAATAAAATTAAAATTGATAAGCATACAATATTTGATAGTAGAAAATTGATTGCAATCTAGTCCAAATTATGTGATGTAGTGATATTATGAATATTTTCAAATTTTTTCCTGGAGAACGTTGACCAGGAATTGTCGCAGAACGATTGGACTGATGGAGACAAGACCCGTGTCGAGATGTACATCGGAATACCGATAATTATGTTATTTTATGGTCTCTGATAGGAATACGAGTACACTCGTTACAGCTTACAAGGCAGTAAAATGATTGAAGTATCGGCCAAACTCATCGGAGGCCCCATATTTATGCCGGGCAGTAAAGTTGGTTGTTGCATAACATTTACACATCCACCGATGCCGTCGGATACGCGAAGTCAAAGCAATAGGTAAGAGTTTAGATTTAGAAACAGAATATAATATTATGAACATAATAGGTATGTGATTTATTCTTAACCTATTTAAACAGTTGATTTTAAATTTTTAAATGTTTTGTTTTCTTTTACACAAAAATATAACGAATTTAAAATGTATTTTATCATATCACCATAATAATTTATGGAATTAAATCAAAAATATTATAAAAAATAGCTTCTTCTTTGCTGTTAATTATTATAACATCTAACAAAATACTATGATTCTATTCGACTGTTTAATATAGTATTGGCTAATTTTTTTTTTTATTATTAATCCAATTACATTTTCAGTGATGTCTTAGAAAATTTAGCATGGGCTAGTGTTCAAATTAATTGTTTGTGTTTAACCAATGACAACATTAACTTCCCATCAGATATGTGTGTCACTAAAGATGAAAAATTCTTAGGGAATTCAGAAACATCATTTGCACCATGTTTAACAGATAATGGTCATGTTGTACTATCAACAAAACCAAAAATTCTATTTTGTGATGTTGGATTATCTCCTGGAGAAAATAAATCATGTAAGTATAAAACATAAGTTTATATAAATAAGAGTCTTTTAGAAGATTTTTAAAATTAAATTGGCTTGTAGTTATAGTATTACATTAACTATAGTAATAGAGTTAATATAATTTATCTTGCATTATATTCAATCTTATAGTTATTTATTTTACCTTATTAATTTTAATATCAATATAAATAAAGCTCAATGTGATATAATTATCTGATATGAATTTTTTCTGTATAAAATATTTGTATTTTTACTATTTATTTATTTGAATTTATTAAGCCAAAAATATATTGTATTTTGATTTTAATTTTTATTCCTTGAAAATTTGTAAGCACATTTCATATCACTTTGTTGTACAATCAAATTATAAATATATTAACATCATATTTTTAAAAACCATACATATTAGTTTAATAACCTGATAATAAATAATATCTTAGTAAAATAATTAAAAAGGACTAGTTTGTAGTGTAAAATGTTTACTTCCTGAAAAATTAAATATTTTAATGATTTTATTTTTTCATAATTTTTATTAATATTTGATAATACAAATATTTAACCACTTTATAAACTCAGTCACTGTTTATCAATAAATGTTTGTATATATTTTTAGATTTATATAGCGAAACATTGCCTAATGATGCACCACCATCATATAAAGGCCACTTAGTGAAATATGCTTATAAAATAACTGTTGGTATGCAACGTTTAAATAGCCCAATTAAATTATTAAGAGTACCAATACGTGTTGTAGCTATTCATGGTAATTTTTATATAATGTTATTTAATTAAAATCAATTCAATAATTATTATATTTATATATACTTATGTCTTAGGACTTACTGAAGGGGTTACATGTGAAAATAGTATTGATTTATCTCCAAGTAACCCATTTTTAGATTCTCAATATAAACATGAAGAATGTGACATGGCTCTTCAAATACTTCAAGTACGCATTTTAAAACTAAAAATTAATATAATGAATTAAAATGGCAAAATTTTAATTAATTCTATAGTCTACATATATAGAATTCTTGAACTTTTAATACCTATACTAAACATAAGTATACATATATCAACATATTATTAATTGTAATGATTTGTACTTCTTACAATTTTGTTTTTATTATTTTAGAATATAACTGCCAAACGAAGTCCTAATTTTTACAATATAACAAACTCAGGAGGAAAAGTAGCCCGTTTTTGTTTATTTAAACAAGCATATAGACTCGGTGAAGATATAGTTGGTACATTTGATTTTGAACAGACTGATGTATCTTGTATTGAGGTATTATAATTGTTTAATTTTATTAATAGTTGAAAATCAATATTTTTATTATTTTCATATTTTGAATAAACTTGTATTTTTAAAATTTTAATACCAACCCAACAAAAAATGTTCCCATCTAAATAATTACATTTTTCCTTTGAGTAGTGTATCTCTAAATTAATTATTAGTTCTCGCAAAATTACCATAGTGCATAGAATACCTATAAATAATATTTCTTTTTATTTTGTGTATTGTTTTGATTTTTTGAATTTAACAATTGATCACCAAAGAATACTTGCTCCAATAATATTTGTGTAGTACAAATTAAAGAAACATGTATAAACTTAAGCACAATCTATGATTGTTATAATTAGAGCTTGGATTTAAATACACTTAAAATCATACAAATATGCTCTAAAAAAATAGCCACAAATGTCCTTAAAAAATGCATTTTACCACAAAAATGACCTTATAAATATCATTTTTTTTTTTATTTTGGGCATTATTACACACTTATTTACACACTATTTAATACATTAAAATCACATTCACACGTAATCCGACCAACGTCAGCGAGGTAATACGAACTAGCTGATTATTTGTTATTTTACCAAATACTGGTGACGTACCATAGTCAATAATAATGATAAGATAAAAACTGAATCGAAAAATAAAGATTAACAATTTGTATGGAAAAACCCGATAAACCTACTTAAATATCAAGAAAATAATTTGTCTTTTGATTTTATTTTGTATGAGCTAAATTTGTTTAAAATATCGAACAAATATGCATTAAAAACCAACAAAATGACCCAATAATACTAAAAATTAAAAATAAAATTTGTAGTTTTGAAACGCTCGTTACATGAAATAAATTATGTTCTTAGAGAGCATTGAGTATGATCAACCAAAATCGAACCAAATGCACTTTGCATTGAAATCCGGGCCCTAGTTATAATATACTACTATGGTACAGCAATTATATAATATCATGAAATAGTGTTCAAGCTACAATAATATGAGCATTAATACAAATAATGACCCAATATCAGACAAAATAAATAAATACTGTGTACTGCTCAATAGTTCAGTATATGATAAATTTATAGCTTATAATTAAAAATTATAATTTCAATAATTGATTTATTAACTATGTCAAAAGTTTGAATGTTTTTTCAATATTAATACTTACACCACTAGATAAAGCTGGTTGATTGTATATTTTATGTTTGGTTACTTTAGATTGTGTATAATTTTCTCTACAATTTTAAATAAAAAAATTTTTTATACTTTCAAAGTAGGTATTTTATAATTTTATTACATTCTATACAAATTAAAAATTCTAATATAAAATATTCTCGGTTAATAATTATTAGTTAAACAAAATTAGAAATAATTTTTAGTGTATTAATTAAGTAATTGGTGGCTAATTTTTTATTTTAATAATAATTTATTGTTATTATTTGGTATTTTGAAAATTTTGTATTTTTATTTATTTCTGTTATTTTTCTATTATCAAAAATATTACAACAATACAATTGTAAAATTTTATTTGAGTTATTTGTGAACTATTTTCACAGAGAATAATGTTGGTCAAAATAGAGATCTAGATATTTTGATTTATAGTATGTACATGATTTTAAGAACAGTTAGAAGTTGTCATGATTATTAAAATTAATCAAAAAACTAATCAGGATTAACTAAGTAATATAAGTAGAAGAGTATAATATAATAATTTAAACTCTTGTCATTTTTAATATTTATTTTATTTTATTTTATTTTTTTTTGTGATTAAGCTTTCAGGTAGGCTAATCATAAAAAGTGACTTTAAGTGACTTAAAGCATATATAAAATTATAATTTAAAGTTTCAAAAACACTATTTCTTAATTTTTCTTGTTGAAAAACCTGACAAAAGCAAATATTCAAGTATTTTGAAAAATTAACAATTTCATGTTCAATGTTATTTGGTGTTAAAAAAAAAAATTCTTATAAATAATTAATTTTGAGTTGATTTTTGATACTTATGTATTTGTATTTTCAGACCGATATTTTGCTTTAAAGAATGTTTTCATAAAAATCAAACTTGAAAGTTTTAAACAAAGACTAAGTAAACAAATTAATTTTTTTGCGAACAAATCATTAAGTAATGACTTTAAATTATGAAAATAAAATAACTTAGACAGATTTCAGCATAATAAGTCAAATGCTCAATTTCATTTCAACTTCTATCTACCTAATATTTATATCATATTTGAAATTTTTTTAATTTAGTAAATGACAGCATAATTTAAAAAATATACTTAGTGAAATTAATGAGATTCTAGAATAACAATATTAACAAATGCAGTTGATTTTAAAACTTATATAGATTTATAATAGGATTTATTTAATCTTTAGCTTTAAATTCCATACATATTGTAGTTTATGATAGTAAAAATGTGATAGTGTAAAACAATTACACTAGTATGGTAAAATCCATTAATTCTGGATATGTTGCTATACATTTAAGTTATAATTATGTACATTATTGATTTTCAATTATCAACAACCTTTATAAATTTACTAAAACCGTGATTTTATATTTTATTATTTAATTTGGTACTTGACAGTTTTGTTAATGGCTCGTTTATTGAATGCAACAATATTAATTTTCCCCTTCTAACAATTTTTCTTTTCTAAACATATTGAAACTTTTTCAATAAATAATCCTTCATTATTTTCATCAAAGGTGACACAAAAGTTTTATAAAATTAATAAAATATTTTCATTTAACACAATTTTCAAAAACTTAATGGAATTCAATTTATAGAATTGTTTATTTTAGATAACAATCGTTTAACAATAATTAAATGCCCATTCAACTATAATTTTTATGATTTTTAATTTTAATGAATTTAAACATATTAAAGTATAAATTATATGATAATATGGTTATATATACACATATATAGATTTAAATATATATATAGATATTTAAAAATATAATACATAATATACAAATTGCATAAACTTGCAGATTTATCATAAAGTCTTCAAGCAATAAATGTCAATAAATTATATTAGAATTGGTTATTTTCTCAGATGTTTGTAGACTTTTACATAAATAATTTAAAATATACTTTAATGGTATTATAATATATGTATTAAAATTAGCTTTCAGATGACTTAAATTATAAAATGTATACTAGTGTAAAATAATTAGTTTTTTATTGGCTTTTTTCGGTTATTTTATTTTTATTTTCAATTTATGTTAAATTATTTGTTTTTATAAAAAGTAAAAAAATTATATTTTTTTTTTTTTTGTAAAACACAATAATAGTTAAGAAAATAAAAAAAATCATGATATATTACATATATATTTATTCATTATTGAATTGCTAGTGCTGTGTTGAACATAAATTACTTAAAACTGAAACTCATAAATATCTTTTTAAATACCTACCTATTAAAAAAAAAAAAAATGTTGTGCTTAGATGTATTATTATGTATTAATATGTTTCTTAAGAGACAATGTTAAAAAAAAGATTAATTTTACTACTTAATCAAATAGTTCGTAAAAAAATGTAAGGTCGCATATTTATTATTAAAATTATGACGTAATTATCATAACTCGAAAGGGTAATTAAGAGTTACTTTGAGTAGACTTAAAAAAATTATTAATTATACTCTGGTTTAGTTACATTATCCATTTAATAAATGTCGTATAAAATGCATAGTACTCAACTTTAAGATAAACAAATTTGTACATTATTTTATATTAAAAATAAAAACAATTACATATAATTTTTTTAAAAGTTATTTTTATTTTTTTAGTACAGATTTAATAACTTATTATTTGTTTAAGTTTTTCAATTAACTTGTTAGAGAAACAGTCAGTATTTCTACCGTGTCTAAAAGCTTAAATAATTATATAATTATGGGATGTACCTACATTTAGTTAATCGGTAATTTTCTTTAAATTGTTATCGAACGATAATTACTTGTCACTCATTCTGAAATGTTGCAAAAAAAAAAAATCCATTTTTGATTATATATTTAAAGTATGTGTGATATTCTGTTTATAGTTCACAGTGAGCTTGCAGTGTGAAGAAGCTGTCAACAAAGATTTTGTTGCTGTCAGCCCTAGGCCCAGAAAAGACAACGTATCAATCGTCTCGTACAATACTCAACATCAGTTCTGCGCCAACACTTTGAAATCGTTCTTGCAGCTTGCCATACCGCTAAACGTGACTCCTGCTTTTAGCACGTTATTAGGTAATTATTAAATTATGGACGAACTACCCCATTAAAGTGTATGAGGGGGGTCTATTATTAATACACCTACCAGCGACGTCTTTGAAACTTTAACCATTTTGACTTTTCGAGGCGAACACTGTTTCCTCCATTACTACTAGTACTATTGCGTGCAAATGTTAAAATATCGCTTCCGCCGTGTGTCTAGTGTGCGTGAAATGGAGGCTTCATTTCGAATTCGTGACTAGTACGAAAACTTCCGGCGAAAAGTTGAACGAAACCAAGGAAGGCACTTGCTGGACGGGTCCTGAAAATATAGACATCGAGACAATGGTATGGGATTTGCCCATTCAAATATACCCGTCTGTGCCGTCTATAGCCAACGACCCACATGCCCAAACACGGGTAACAATCGCGATATGATTTTTTTTTTTTTTACACATATGTATTCATAAAATAATGTATATTATTATTATATTATTTTTTAACGAATTATCAATCAAAAAAAAATTTTTTACACCTTATTTTTTTGTTTATTATTAATTGTATCTTGATAAATTACTTTTATTCTGTTATTAAAAGTTGAAAGGGGACCTTTTCTAGTGTTTTTTTTTCGACGCCGCACATCCCGACCTGAATACCCTTTTACAAATGTCAACTTACACGAATACAATAATGTCCTTTGTGACGTGTTATTAAAAGGATGTCCGAAAAGACATTAATCACAGTCGCCATACGTTGTCTGTCTGATGACCAGTGGCGGCGGCGGCGGTCCACATCACTGCAATTGTGTGTATAAAACCACAAACTTTCGGTGATCCTTCGGACTTGGGGAAATGTTATATATAACAGTAATAATAACAACAATAAGCGTAGCAGCGGTTATGATACAATTTGACAAACAAGGAACCGAATCGCGTAGTCTAATTCCGTGCGCGCGCACAAAGGCATTCCAGAGCGATACTGAATATTAAAATAACTTCCGGTCGGTCAAACATCATAAATGGCAAAGGCGGCAGATATGTATAATATACGTATAATAATAATAATAATAATACGAATCGGTCGCACAGGACAAATTTTGAATTCCTTTCCGAAGAAAACGCTTTATAGTTTTTTTTTTTTTCTTATGTATTATTATTATTTCGTACAGCGTTACGCAATATATTGTTTCGCTAACCAACATGTCCGTGCTTTGGGGTACGCCGTCCGTCGCACATAATAATCATTCTCAAGACTTTCGACGGTAAATAACATATACGAGATAAGACGTTTTAAATACGCTTAGAGACGCGCGCACGATAAATTAACGACATGAGTTAAGTATATCTGTGTGTGTGTGTGTGTGTGTGCACGCTGGATTCATTCGCTCTACCATCCCGGTGATTTATGTACATTAACTTTTAATTTTCAGATACGAATCGATGACTACGGCGTCGGTGACTTACATATTAGGGAAAGAAGGAGGGTTGATGTATCGTTCCAATATCTTTCGAGAGCCACGATAATATGCGCCCGCTAGTGTTCGTATAAATGCACAACAGGGCGTTAAGAGGATATAGTCTCCCGTACGATGTGCACTAGGCGTGGTGTTATAGGGATTTTTTCTCGTTTGTGTTGACGTAAACCTCGTTATTTTTCAAAATGCCAAAACAAGATTATAAAATAAAAATAAAAATATTTTGTAATAACACGTGTGTTGTAAAATGCCTACTTCGCGTGCACATGGCAATTACTTTAGTGTTTAGTACATCAGTTAAAAACCGAAACCGCGTCACTTTACTGTATCTATATTCGGTGCTTCTTAGTCTAAATTATCACGTGTTCGGATGACTTGCAGTACGTAAAATATCCGCCGTACCGGGTGGGACGAAATAGTAAAAACGTATGCGTGCTATTTTGTTTATCAAAAGCCGAGTCCAGACGGAGCAGCTTTTTCCGCGCGGTATGAGTGTGAATACATAAATACATTTTCCGCGGCTTTTTTTGATGCCGCGTGCCATAATTTCCGATCGGCTTGATAGGCGGTCCATATCAAAGGAAAGCCGCGCGGTTTGTGCCGCTGGCCTATGCTGCGTGTGTGTGGACGTATTTTCGGCAAAGCCGCGCGGCATCAGTACTTATTTTTTAAGTAGGTACAAATTATTAATTAATAACAAATCGGGAAATAAACGCCGCACCGTGTGGACGCGGCAAAAGCTACCCCGTCTGGACCCACCTTAATAGACGTGCAATCGCACAGGATTCCCCGAGATCGCAGTAAATATTAAATACTGATATAAACGATTGTTTCTGCAAGATATGTAAGCTTTTTATTCATAACCCATCCCGTCTTGCGAATCAAAACTTCACATTTAACAATATTGTTTATTGAATCTTTGTAACGTAACATATTTACCATAATGTATTGTAGCTATTCGTAGTATATATGCATTTTTTTTTTGTGTATATAAATCTTAAGAGGTACGATAAAGCTGTAGGTACATTTGTAATTTACAGTTATCAGAAAACGAATGACAAATGACAAGCTTCCTTTATACGTGCGATACTTTTTTAGGTACCAAAGAAAGTATGTATATGTATATTTGTGTATTCATATGTATATAATTACGCATAAGATAATATCGTGGAACGATTGGCGCGCATAAACACTGCAATTAACCCTTTTCGTGTGCAGCGATCATCGCAGTCACTGCCGTCTGCTTTGTATTATTATTAATACTACAATAATACGTGTGTATAGTGTACGACGGGGGGGGGGGGGGGGGGGCAGAATAAAAAAACCATATATACCGCGAAACGTTACCCGCACGTCGACGGCGTCCGGTCAAAAGCTAATGAAATTCCCGTGCGTAACGTTTATTATTATTTTTAATATAAAAATCTTCCGCCGTCCCTCCCGGACGTTGTTTGTAATAGTGCGACGAGGACAAGCGCGGGTGGCTTTTGAACAGTGTTCATATTTTTTGTCGTCGTCGCATTATTATTATTATTATTATTTTTAATGACGAGCCCGCCGCCGCACCCGAGCGAAGGGGTGACCGAACGGCGATTAGATCCGCGTGTTCAACAGATTAAAGACTTGAAGCCGCATCAACGAGTCCTCGCGGGATATTGCGCGCGTAACGAGCCGTAGGAATTTTTATGCGCCCCGTCGCAACGGAGAGGGCGGCATGTCATCGTATATATGAAAGGAGCACTCCTCCATCGCCCTTTTCTGCTGCTGGTTTCGCGAAGTTCGTATTGTCTGCTGCTGTTTGTTATTTAATATATAATATAACGCACAACAGAGGATAATGTAATGGGTAATAATGGTTGTTTTTTCTCTCCTTTCTCGCTCGCTCTCTCTCCCTCTCTCTCCCTCTCTCTCTCTCTCTCTCTCTCTCTCTCTCTCTCTCTCTCTCTCTCTCTCTCTCTCTCTCTCTCTCTCTCTCTACAACTCTGCTAGTTGTCGCGGATATTCGCCTACGTAAACAGTGTATACGATTAGTCGGGCATGAGGCCGGTGCAATACACCGCGACCGGGGTAGCAGAGGGTGTGTGCTGACGATCCGAAGGGTTTCGTACGGACGACTGGCGCCCGTGCGCAGAGGAGTGTAGGCCACTTGAACGTAGATAGGGCGGTTTTGACGTGTATACTGTATCGTGGAGACCGGGACCGTTATTAAATGTCACAAATTACCCGATGACGACGAAAGAGTAGGTATAATGACGTTTTTTCCCTCTTTTGAACTCGGCGGCCGGTATACGGGGTATCATCAAAATTCCGATCCCGATGCACTGATAGACCTCCGTACCGATACACATGCACACACACTTTGACGCACCCGATTTGGATATACGATTTTTTCGCAATAGTCTTTCAGGTGCCATGCCAGTTCAAAGGACATATTATGAATATATTAGTCACGATTAAGCGTACGTTTTACATGAATACTACTATGCTTACGTATGCATAATAAACGTATTAAATATAAGTATTTTCTAGAATTTCCATGAAAAATAATTATAATATCCGTATTTTAATACTTCTACAAATTCAACTAACAATTTATACGTCCAATAACTTAATTTACGTAAATAGTAATGAATCAATTTCATTCCGTATTAACTTAGTGTATTAGTCATCCTTAATTTGTTTTAGTTTAGTATCCATAGTAAACAAGAGTTTTTCTTCTCTTGCACGTGTATCGATTTTCGAGATGAACCATTAATACATCGATGTTTTGTTAATTATTGTTATTACTTTGTTTATTTTACGGAATAATAAACAAATATTACTAAATTATTAAAAGTTACGTGGATGGAACGCTGCGGATCAAGATCATTTACTTCGGACGTGTAACGTTCACCGCCGCCAACATTCAATGTTACGTAGGTACTTATTATTTATACAACTATTATTATTATTACTATAACTCAGTGGAGATACCAAATGTAATGAAATATAAATGCTGCGACTTTCGAGTGAAATTCATTAGCTGGTAAAAATGTTGGTTTTTAAAACATTTCGTGCGTCTGTACGGACCGGTAATAAGGACTGAACTTTAAACAAACTTTGGCTTTTAAGTTATTCACACCTTCTTAAATATCCTAGATGTCGAATAAAGTTAGTAAAGTACCTACCTACCTACTCTACTATATAAAATATACATTCCTGGGAAAATGCCGGATTGTTGATGTTACACTTATTGCTACACTTCTACACTCATAAGTCGACATAGTATTATCACAGGTATACATTCGTTATTATATACAAATATATATGGCTATTAAACTAATAAAAATCGAAACGATATACTATTGTTATGAGTTTTAAGACTGAAAACAATAAGTAACTGTTTTGGTTTACTCGTTTTTGAAATTTTAAACTTTTAAAAGCGAGTACACTATGTTAAATCTTCTATATTTTTAAAATTAAGATGGCTTAGAATTAACATAACATTATCAAGCTAAGAATCAAATCTATTTGTTTACATAGATGAATTATATACTAAATAAACGTACCTATATACCTACTATAAACACTTATTGAAAAATTAAATACTACCCAAAAAATTAATTTTTAACCAAAGTAATTTTTTTCCTAGGAAAACCCATCTGGAACTGAAAATAATTAAATTAATTACTTGTGTATCATCTCAATAATATGTACCTGATTTCCTATCTAAAAAAATGTAATACAGCATTTTTGGTGCATACTTACAAGCCCAAAAGTGATTAAGACAGAAAATATAACCAATCAATTCATTTCTGTCTTCACTCCGAATCTAAATCGAGTGTTTTAATGAATAAATTATTATTCCATGCGACCCAATAATAATAATTTTAAAATATTTATAGTGAATTGACGCTGAACACTTTTCAACACTCGCACAGAAAAATCATATTGTAAAGTAAAGTTAAACGTGAATTAATGGATCGTAATATTAACATGTCACAAGAAGCTTCATGAAGTTTCCCAGTGATCGGTGCGCCCCTATGACCAACGTTC